TGGTGCATGCCTGTAATTGCAGCTACTTGGGAGGCTGAGGCAGGAGAATCGCTTGAATTCAGGAGGCGGAGCTTGTGGTGAGCCAAGGTTGTACCATTGCACTCCAGCCTGGGCAACAAGAGCGAAACAAAGTGAAATGGTCAGAAAAAAAAAAAAAAAAAAAAACCTCTAACCTGGGCAACAGGTGGAGTGGTTTTTTACCTTTTTTTTTTTTAAATCTTTTTTGAGACAGAATCTCACACTGTTGCCCAGGCTGGAGTACAATGGCACGACCTGGGCTCACTGCAACCTCCACCTCCCGGGTTCATCCAATTTTCCTGCCTCAGCCTCCTGAGTAGCTGGGATTACAGGTGCACACCACCACACCTGGCTAATTGTTTGTAATTTTAGTAGAGACAGGGTTTCACTGTGTTGACCAGACTGGTCTTGAACTGCTGACCTCCTAATCTGCCCGCTTTGGCCTCTCAAAGTGCTGGGATTACAGATGTGAGCCACAGCCCCCCGTCGTGTTTAACTATTTTATGGGTTGGTTACAGAAAGAAAATATTTACTAACTGGGTGTGGCACATTTTTGTAGTTACAGCTACTTGAGAGGCCAAAGTCGGAAGATGACTTGAACCCAGGAGTTCAAGGCCAGCTTGGGCAACATAGCAAGAGACCCCATCCCTTAAAAATAAAGAAAAGAAAATATTTACATGTATTTTACTATATATATATACACATATAGTATATATACACACATATATATACATGTATATACACACATATATACATATATACATATATATGTGTGTGTATGTATACATATATATATGTACACAAAATATTTACATCGGGAGGAAGAAGTGAAAGGCATGGCCAGGCACAATGGCTCACGCCTGTAATCCCAACACTTTGGGAGGCCAAGGTGGGCAGATCACAAGGTCAGGAGATTGAAACCATTCTGGCCAACATGGTGAAACCCCATCTCTACTAAATACAAAAAAATTAGCTGGGCGTGGTGGCGTGTGCCTGTAATCCCAGCTACTCGGGACGCTGAGGCAGGAGAATTGCTTGAACGTGAGAATTGGAGGTTGCAGTGAGCCAAGATCACACCACTGCACTCCAGCCTGGTGATGGAGCGAGATTCTGTTTAAAAAAAAAAAAAGGCAGGGGGTACATGGCATTTCAAGAAAATAAATTCTTCCATGAGAGGGAGTTATCTGGTAGGATGGAAAGTGAGTTTGGAGAGAGGGTGGCTATAAGAGTCAATTTATCTGTCTGTGTTTAGAGATGTCCTTCCTGAGATCCGTGCTATCTGCATCGAGGAAATTGGGTGTTGGATGCAAAGCTACAGTACTTCTTTCCTCACTGACAGCTATTTAAAATATATTGGTTGGACTCTGCATGATAAGGTGGGATTTGATCCAGTCTCCTTTTTCGTTTCCCTCATCTTTTTCCTGTCCTAGGACCCTTCACCTTTTTCTGGTCCTGCCACAGATAATTTACATAGTGAGCAATGATTAACCCATCAAGGCACTGAACCTTGAAACTCCCCTAGCACTGGGGAGGGTAGGATAAGGTAGAGAGAGACATATCCAGGAGATGAAATGCCTCAAAACATGAGGTACAGGGAGAGAGACTTTACTATGGAAGAGAGTTACTGATGGATGGTAGTGCAGGTGCTAAGGGGGCAGCCAAAGGGTCCTTCTCATTATGAGTCCTGCTGTGATCCTTTTGTTTTTTAAGTAAGAAGACAGCTGTTAATTGTTTCTGACATCTCAGAGTCCTCAGTATAGGGGACACCCAAGCTAGAAAGAGGGATCAGAGAGGGGAGTCTGGAGGCTTAGTAGGAACAAGTAGAGGGTGGTCAGTCCTGTTTCCATTTTCCTGGTTTTCCCTCCTCACCAGCACCGGGAAGTCCGTCTGAAGTGTCTGAAGGCCCTGAAAGGGCTGTATGGCAACCGGGACCTGACCACACGCTTGGAGCTCTTCACCAGCCGCTTCAAGGTGAAATGGGTGGTGCTCCTTGACTTGGTTCTTTGTTGTGTTCCTGTTTCCCCACCTTGTAGCTTTTCATCCCGCAGGCTCTAAGATGTCTTTGCTATCCCAGCATCTGCCTCTACATAGGCCCTCTCTTTAAGAATCTCTGATTCTAAGAGAACAGAATGTTTGGAATGGGTGTAATGAGATACTGAGTGACTTCCTTTCTGCAGGACCGGATGGTTTCTATGGTCATGGACAGAGAGTACGATGTGGCAGTGGAGGCCGTCAGCTTACTGATACTTATACTTAAGTGAGTCTTGGGAAGAGGGGAGGCAAATGTCTCAGACCTTTGCCCTTCTAGGGTCCTTTTCTTCCACCTGTCACAGCTGACTCTTCTGTCTATGTAGGTTGAACGACTGAGGCCATTCCTGAGTTGCAGGATCTCAAGGGGGGAATCTTTCTGTCTTCTCTAACTCCCCATACTCCTCTGTCTTCCACTCTCCATTTAGAATTTTTTTGTGAGTTATGTCCTTGTTGCTTTTGCCTTTTTGTTTCTAGCTTTGGTTGTGCCAGAAGACAGTGTCCCTATTCACACACTCTTTCTGCTTTTCTGTGGGCAGGAACATGGAAGGGGTGCTGACAGATACGGACTGCGAGAGCATCTACCCCATTGTGTATGCCTCTAATCGAGCCCTGGCCTCTGCTGCGGGTGAATTTCTGTACTGGAAGTGAGTGGGGCTCCTTTTATGTTTCTTTAACACCACCCTCTCAGTTTCTCTCCCCGTCTGCTGCTGCTCTGTGTAAGGCCTCCCCATCTCTCCTTTTCTCTCTCAGCTCCTTGGGGCTTTCCTTAGCTCTGCACCTCCTATTCCTTTATCATCTCCTTGGGCCATCTCTTCCCTCTGTGGTCATTACATTCCTTGTTTCCTCCCATGCTGAGCCCTTTCCTTGTGTCCATTCCACCAGGCTCTTCTACCCTGAGTGCGGAATAAGAACAATAGGTGGAAGAGAGCGACGCCAGAGCCCAGGCGCCCAGAGGACTTTTTTCCAGCTTCTGCTGTCCTTCTTTGTGGAGAGTGAGGTGACATATGCAGAGATGAAGTCTGGCTGTTGTGCATAGGACCTATAAGTGGGCTGGGCTTGGTGGCTCAGGCCTGTAAGCCCAGCACTTTGGGAGGCTGAGGTGGGAGGATCCTTTGAGCCCAGGAGTTTGAGACCAGTCTGGGAACATAGTGGGACTCTGTCTCTACAAAAAAAAAAAGGCCGGGCGCGGTGGCTCACAACTGTAATCTCAGCACTTTGGGTGGCCAAGGCGGGCAAATCACAAGGTCAGGAGTTCAAGACCAGCCTGACCAACATGATGAAACCATCTCTACTAAAAATACAAAAATAAGCCGGGCATGGTGTTGCGCACCTCTAATTACAGCTACTCAGGAGGCTTGTACCCGGGAGGTGGAGGTTGCAGAGAGCCTAGATGTACTACTGCACTCCAACCTGGATGACAGAGAGACTCTCTCGGAAAAGAAAAAAAAAAGTGGAGAAGGATGGAGGTGGACACTATGGGAAGGAAAGCAATATTTAATCAGTAACCACTTCCTAGGTATTTTAACATGTCATCACTATCTCCCCATGCACCTCCTTCCACAGCTCCATGACCATGCTGCTTACTTAGTAGACAGCCTGTGGGACTGTGCAGGTGCTCAGCTGAAGGACTGGGAGAGTCTGACAAGCCTGCTGCTGGAGAAGGACCAAAGTGGGTGCCACATGGAGCCAGGGACAGGAACCTTTCACCTCCTAGGGTGAAACCGGGAGAGATTGCCGGCCTGACTTGTACAAGGCAGCAACGGTGGCATAGGGTTGGGGGAACTTGGAGTTGGAAGGTGGCTAATCTTTGATTCTATGTTTTTTATCCTCCTGCCACTCCAGACCTGGGTGATGTGCAAGAGAGCACACTGATAGAAATCCTTGTGTCCAGTGCCCGGCAAGCTTCAGAGGGGCATCCGCCTGTGGGGCGGGTCACTGGGAGGAAGGTATGGCGTGAGGGTGGATTTGGTAGGTCAGCAGTACTCAATCGTGATAGGCATTGTACATCCTTATTCTCCAGGCTGGGGTTAGGGTGCTCCTTCTACCTTTTTTTTTTTTTTTTTTTTTTTGAGATGGAATCTTGCTCTGTAGCCTAGGCTGGAGTGCAGTAGTGCGATCTTGGCTCACTGCAACCTCTGCCTCCAGGGTCCCAGTTCAAGCAATTCTTATACCTCAGCCTCCCAAGTAGCTGGGATTACAGGCACGAGCTGCCATGCCCAGCTAATTTTTGTGTTTTTTAGTAGAGATGGGGTTTTACCATGTTGGCCAGTCTGGTCCTGACCTCCTGACTTCGTGATCTACCCACCTCGGTGTCCCAAAATGCTTGGATTACAGGCATGCGCCACTGTGCCCAGCCTCCTTCTACCCTTTAAAGAATTTTTCGTTTGCAGAAAAATCTGATGGGAGCTGCCAAGTTCTCTTTTCCTTCCAGGCAGATAAGATCATGGGGAGGAGGACTGCACATACCCCCAGACCAGTGTTTCTCCACACCTCCTCCACCCCCAAGTGACTCTCATTCCAGGGCTTAACCTCTAAGGAACGCAAGACCCAAGCTGATGACAGAGTAAAGCTGACTGAGCACCTCATCCCCCTGCTGCCCCAGCTCCTGGCTAAGGTACCGCTGCCTTTCCACTGAACATCACCCCATGAGCAGGGAAAGGAAGCAGCCTCTATGAGGAGGGGTGGCAGTAGGAATTACCAATGTGTCAGCTCATAAGGAGGCCTCCTGTCAATCATCACAGTTCTCAGCTGATGCAGAGAAAGTCACTCCCCTGCTCCAGCTTCTCAGCTGCTTTGACCTCCGCATCTACTGCACTGGGCGCCTGGAGAAGGTAGGGAGATAGATTTCTTATAACTTGCTGCTCACCTGCTGGGGCCAAAGGGTTCTGTTGCCAGTATCTTTTTTTCCCCAAGAACTTGGGTTCCAGAAAAATTGGCAAGCCTTTTCTTTCTTAGGCATCTTATCCTTGAAGTTTAATGCTTTTAACCCCATTTCACTTCCCTCCAGAAGAGTTTTCCTCCTCCCACCCCCACAGCACACCATCTTCTGCCTTTTCTTCTCAGCACCTGGAGCTGCTCCTGAAGCAACTCCAGGAGGTGGTGGTGAAGCACACAGAGCCAGCAGTGCTTGAGGCTGGGGCACATGCCCTCTACTTGCTCTGTAATCCCGAATTCACTTTCTTCAGCCGGGCGGACTTTGCCCGCAGCCAACTAGTAGATCTACTAACTGACCGCTTCCAGCAGGAGCTTGAAGAGCTGCCGCAGGTAGGAGCTGGGGCTAGACAATGGGACACCCCAAACAAGGGTGGGAGGGGCTGCAAGATAGGGGACGTGGACAGATGAGTTCTGGGAGAAATGCTATTGTGGATCTTCTTTCTTCCTCAGTCATCCTTCCTAGATGAGGATGAGGTATATAACCTGGCAACCACTCTGAAACGCCTTTCTGCCTTCTACAAGTGAGTGGCTTTCCTTGTCTTCCCCATCCCATTTTTACTGGTGTCTGTGGAGTTGGTTCACTCTGTTCTTTTTCCAGTATAACGTTCCCCTCTCTCCCACAAAGCGCTCATGACCTGACTCGCTGGGAGCTCTATGAGCCATGTTGCCAACTGCTGCAGAAGGCTGTGGACACAGGAGAGGTTCCTCACCAGGTGAATGAAGAACCTGCAGAAGGCTGGAGATGGGTTGGGGGCTGGGGAACTAGTTTTTAAGGACCTATGTCCCAGGTGGCCACCAGGTGGGTCAAGACCCAGGGTGTGGAGTGGACAAAGTGAGGAAGATCAGGTGGGGGTCATCCCTTACATTCCTCTCTTAGAGGGTAGACTCTACTTCCATTGTCTAAACACAACTATCTTCTTGGATTTCCTGGAAGCCGAAGATAACATTGAGGGATTCTAGGAGACATAGAGTAAATTAGGGAGTAGAGACATTTCTACCTCATATAGAAGCCTCTGAAGATTGTCCAGAATATCATTCATTTTCCACCAGAAGGAATTGGGTCTCCCCTTACTCATTTTCTCTCCTCTTCACTGCTGTGTCTGCCTATCTGTCTCTCCCCCTCCTGACCCAAACCTCATTTTTCAAACACTTTGTTGTTACAGGTTATCCTGCCAGCCTTGACTCTTGTCTATTTTTCCATTCTGTGGACACTAACCCACATTTCTAAATCAGATGCTTCCCAGGTGAGTGTGGGTCTTAGAAGGGGAAATGGGAACAGAGGAGCCTATGTCTTCATTCTTCCCCCTCAAGTCACTGTGCCCACAGAAGCAGCTGTCGAGTTTGAGGGAAAGAATGGTGGCCTTCTGTGAACTCTGCCAGAGTTGCCTCTCAGATGTGGATACTGAGATCCGGGAGCAGGTGAGCATTGACTCAAGTGGGAGCAAGAAGGCGAGTGCTTCTGTCCCCATTCCAAGGAGAAATTGACAGTGTCTTTTCTACCTTGGGAAACATTCTGTCTTTTAAGCATCCTTTCTTTTATCCCTACAGGCTTTTGTCTTATTAAGTGATCTGCTTCTCATCTTTAGCCCTCAGATGATTGTCGGGGGCCGTGATTTCCTTAGGCCACTTGTCTTTTTTCCTGAAGCTACCCTCCAGTCTGAGCTAGCCAGCTTCCTCATGGACCATGTCTTCATTCAGCCAGGAGACTTGGGCAGTGGTGCAGTGACTCTATACCTGGGGCTCAGTAAGGGCTGGGGCTTGGGTGTGGTTCTGGAATACAGGGCAGGAGACCTAAGTCTGTGATTTTCTTCTGCCTTCCATGTGAACCAGGTAATTCCCAGGAGGATCATTTACAGATAGAGCGCCTACACCAGCGGCGCCGCCTCTTGGCCGGGTTCTGTAAGCTGTTGCTTTATGGAGTACTGGAGATGGACGCAGCCTCAGATGTTTTCAAACACTACAACAAGGTACAGCAAGGCCCTACAGAAATAGAAGAGAGCAAGTGGAGCACAGTCATGACTTCAAACACGATAGCACTACAGGTGGGGGGTATCTGTTGGTATCAGGCTTAAAAGAGAAGTAGGAGGGAAAGGCACTGGGAGTTCAGAATAAAGGGACAAAGAAAAAAGACTTAATCGTAAATAATTATGGAGAAAAAGCTGTGAAGAAATTCACTGGAGGGGAAATAGCTTATTCTTCCTGTCCAGAAATACTTACTTTTCTGACCCCAGTCTATGGAATGATAACATAAGAAGGAAAAAAGAATAAAAGAGGCATCAGTTCCCACAAGATACCTAGATGTGTGCTCCAGTTTTCCCAACCCATCAGTATTGATTTATGCTTATCGAGCACCTGCTATGTGCCAAACACCATTCCAGGAGCTAAGGCCACAGCAATGAACAAAACACAAGCTCCTATTTGGTGGAGCTTCCATTGTAGTTGGGGAGAGACAAATAGTGAAGGTCAGTGCTGTGTGACAGGGCACTGTCAGGCTTACCTCTCCAAGGCTTGGGCTTGGGGAAGTGTTTGTTTCATTATTACTATTATTTTTGAGATGGAAGCTAGCTCTGTCGTCAGACTCGAGTGCAGTGGCACAATCTCGGCTGCCTGCAACCTCTGCCTCCAAGGTTCAAGTGGTTCTCCTGCCTCAACCTTTCAAGTAGCTAGGACTACAGGCATACACTGCCATGCTCAGCTAGTTTTTATATTTTTAGTAGAGATGGAGTTTCACCATGTTGGCCAGGATAGTCTCCATTTCCTGACCTTGTGATCCATCCACCTTGGGATCTGAAAGTGCTGGGCTTACAGGCGAGAGTCACCGTGCCCAACCTGTTTCATTATTTACCAAAACTCTAATTTCCTTTGGGCTTTGCACCTGTTTATTAGAGATGAAGTCTAGTCTGAATTATTTTATGCTTCGGTTTATGTTTGCTACCTAAGGCACTTTGGGAGAGAGTCATGATTAGGGATATGAAAGAAGTAGCAAAATGGTCTTTTCCACCAGTCAGACATTACCTTCCTCACTCTTTCCTCAGTTCTACAATGACTATGGTGACATTATCAAGGAAACATTAACTAGAGCAAGACAGATTGACCGAAGTCATTGTTCCAGAATCCTGCTGCTGAGCCTCAAGCAGGTATGCCCTTCTGCCTTGAGGACATGCCCTCCCTGTTGTCCACAAGTCTCTGTCTACACTTAGCCATTCCGAATGTAAGATCCTGCGGAGCAATAACTTTTCTTTTGACTCAACTTTACATGATAGGTTCCTTCATTCCTAGTAGACCCTTGGAACGTATTTTTTTTAACTGACTGGGCAACCCCATCAAAAGTAACTATCAGGATACTGGAAAACCAACAAGGAAGTGATAGGGAATTCCTATTTTTCAGACTGTTCTTTCTCAGCCTCCTTCAGTTACTATAGACGTTTTTATTTAATGTTTCAGAGTAGGGGTGATGCACTTTGTCTGCTGCAGGGGTCAGTGATTGGGAATTCCCTAGAAGGAAAGAAAGTAAAAGTAGTAGGTGGTGTCCCAAGGCCTTTGGAATTTCTGAGTAGAGAAGGGAATGCTGGACTTCTCTGTTTCTGCCATGTTTCTCCCTTTTCCACATGCACCATGTCTCCTGGACACAGCTGTACACAGAACTGCTGCAGGAGCATGGGCCACAGGGACTGAATGAGCTTCCTGCCTTCATTGAGATGAGGGACCTGGCCCGGAGATTTGCCTTGAGCTTTGGACCCCAGCAGCTGCAGAACCGTGATCTTGTGGTCATACTACACAAGTAGGAAGTATTGAGTGGAGGCTATGTCCAGGGAGGGTTAGGAGGGAGGTCTTGGAGGAAGGGTGTGTGTGTCAAGGCATGGCAGTCATGTTAGTGGTGGATATGCCTTTGGAGAGAAGCTGGGGACAGGGTGAGGGTGCATTTGGATGGGGTATCTTGGCCCTGGGAGGGAAGTGGGAAGAGACTTTCTTCCTGAAGGAATTCTGCCCACCCAAGGGAAGGCATCAAGTTCTCCTTGTCTGAGCTTCCTCCAGCTGGCTCCTCTGATCAGCCCCCAAATCTGGCCTTCCTGGAGCTCCTTTCAGAGTTTTCCCCCCGACTTTTCCATCAGGACAAACAGCTGCTGTAAGTTGGTGGGTCAATAGAGATGTGGATTAGGGAAGGGTTTGCTGAGGCCCAGTGGCCCCTTCAGTATTTTCATTCCACCTCTTTCTTAGACTGTCCTACTTAGAAAAGTGCCTGAAGCACATCTCCCAGGCACCTGGCCATCCCTGGGGCCCAGTCACTGCCTACTGCCACTCCCTCAGCCCTGTGGAGAACACAGCAGAGACCAGCCCTCAGGTCCTCCCTCGCTCCAAGAAGAGGCGCGTTGAAGGTAGGGTGCTGTGTGTGGGTATGGGAGTGCCCAGCATGGTTAAGTGCAGATGGTCTTCAGCTGCCTTCAGACTTACTTTGTCAAATATTTCATTGAGCATCTGCTCTCTGCAGTGAGCCAAGATTGCACCACTGCTCTCCAGCCTGGGTGTCAGAGCAAGACTCTATCTCAAAAAAAAAAAAAAAAAAATCGAATAGAAACTGATGATAAAACCAAATATTGAACTAAGAAATCTGTGTATTCAGAGTACCCCTCCTCAACATCTTATATTCCATTGTTTTCCAAATTTTAGACACTTTCACACAACCTTCATTATTTTTTACCTTCAGATCACCTGTTATCTTAAAGTTGCCTAAGGTTTTTTCTTTAATTTGCTTTTTTTTGGAGACGGAGTTTCGCTCTTGTTACCCAGGCTGGAGTGCAATGGCGCAATCTCGGCTCACCGCAACCTCCGCCCCCTGGGTTCAGGCAATTCTCCTGCCTCAGCCTCCTGAGTAGCTGGGATTACAGGCACGCGCCACCACGCCCAGCTAATGTTTTGTATTTTTAGTAGAGACGGGGTTTCACCATGTTGACCAGGATGGTCTTGATCTCTTGACCTTGTGATCCACTCCCAAAGTGCTGGGATTACAGGCTTGAGCCACCACGCCCGGCCTTTAATTTGCTTTTTTAAAAAAGTCTCAAGTAACATTGTAGCAATCATTTCATATGTGAGTATGTGTTTTCTAGTGTACCTCTTTAAGTGGGACTTTATGTGACAGCTTTATTGAGATATAACTTACATATAATAAAAATCACCCTTTTAAAGTGTACATTTCAGTTGTTTCCAGCATATTCACTGAATTATACAGCCATCACCACTATCTAATTTTAGAACATTTTCATCATTCCAAAAGAAACCACATACCCATTAGCAGTCTCTCCCCATCTTCCCAGCCTTAGGTAGTATCACTAATATAATTCCTATCTCTTGATTTGCCTATTCTGGACCTTTCATATAATAATATGTGGCCTTTTACGTCCAGCTGCTTTCACTTAGCACAGTATTTTCAAAGTTCGTCTATACTTTGGAATATATCAGTATCTCATACCTTTTTATGGCCCAAAAAATATGCCATTTCATGGATATGCCATATTCTATTTATCCACTTGTCAGTTGATTGACATTTGGGCTGTTTATGCATAATGCTGCTAAATATACATGTACAAATTTTTGGGTGGATACATCTTCTCAGTTCTCTTGAGATGTACCTGGGGGTGGAATTGCTGGGTCATATGGCAACTCTATATTTAAGTTTTTGAGGAACTACCCACATTGTTTTCCAAAGTGCCTTCACTATTTTACTATCCCACCAGCAATGGATGGGGGCGCTGGTTTCTCCACATTGTCACGAGTACTTATTATTGTCTTTTTAATTTTATCCATCTCCTAGTAACTGTGAGGTGGTATTTCATTGTGGTTTAAATTTGCATTTCCCTAATGACTAATGATATTGAGCATCTTTTCATGTGCTTATCAATAATTTGTTTATCTTCTTTGGAGAAAAGTCTGTTCTTTACTATTTTAAAATAGGGTTGTCTTTTTATTGTTGAGTCGTAAGTATTCTTTGTATATTCTAGACACGAGATTCCTTATGATATGCAAACATTTTCTCCCATTTTTTGGGTTGTCTTTTTATGTTATTGATGGTGTCCTTTGAAACACAAAAGTTCTTGAATTTGGTGAAATCTAACTTACTTTATTTTTTTGTTGCATGTGCTTTTGGTGCCATATCTTGAGAAATTGTTGCCTAATTCAAGGTCACAAAGATTTATTCCTATGTTTTCTTCTAAGAGTTACAGTTTTAGCTCTTAACATTTAGATTTGTGATCCAGTTTGAGTTAATTTTTGTGTATGGTGTGAGATGGGTGTGATTTTAATGTTTCCTGTGTACTACCTAAAATTATATCTTATACTATCAGGAAACTCTGCTTTAATCAATTAACTAATACATATTTGTTAAGGACCTACTGCAAGATACTATGTTCAGTGTTTTAGGGGCCATGGAGAATCCTCCAGCAGCTTATTATCTAATAGGAAAGGGGGAAATTTTAATTGTGGAAAACCTGAATTATGAACAATTGCCAAGAAATAACTGCCTGAGGGATTGTACAAATGAATGCTGCAGAATTTAGAGAAGGATGAAGGCTTCACCAAGAAGATAGAATTGCTGGAGCTTAAAAAATAAGTAAGATTCGTATAAGCTGAACAGAGGAAGGAAGAGAGCATCATGGGCTGGCAGAATAGCACAAGCAAAGCATAGAAGGCTGTGTACTGGGCAAAGCATGGAGGTACATAGATTACTCTGCCTAAAGCATAGGGTTTGTGAAGGCGAGATAAAACTGAAGAGATTGGCTTTATTCATTCAACAGATACTGAACACCATGTGCTGGGAATACAGCAGTGAACAAAAAAGCCAACAATCTCTTTCTTTAGAGGGTGTCAGATAGTAGTAAATGCTATGGCAAAAAAGCAAGGAGGAGTGTGAGGAATCTTGGTGGGGTAGGGATTGCAGTCTTAAAAAGACTGATCAAGGGAAGACTCAAGAACACAAATGTTGGGCA